TCCTGTTCAATACATAAATATACTAGTGCAACTAATCAGTCAAGACAAACTGTACAGTTGACTCTACAACCATTCGGATGGGGTGTTCCTGTCCATCTAGGTTGTGAACAACTATTCTTGTTCGCAAGTGACTGATAGAGTGATCTTCGGTTCGCCTGATGATGACCCACCCTATCTAAGTGCAGAACAACAGAACGTAGAACTTGTTTAATCTAACACGATTCTCATTCATAAATGGCAAATGTGTAATAACATGCAAAGCCAAGCTTTCAGTATATAACACTAGCAAAAAAAATCTAACAGTAGGGAACCGATTGAGAAGTTATCACTGAAGATGGAGAGTATGAGAGGATTATGAGGTGCTAAGGACTGGGAGGAGTGGGAATTAACCAGAAAGGAGTTGGATGCAGCATATCAGGCAGAGGAAGTGTTTTGGCAGCAAAAGGCCAGAGTTCAATGGTTGAAAGATAGAGATTCCAATTCAAAATTCATCCATGCCTATACCATTCAAAGAAGAAAGCAAAATGCCATTAGTAGATTGGTGGGGGAAGGCCACAGAGTCTTTAGCACTGAGAAGAAAATTGAGGAGCATATCCAAAACTTCTATGACCAGTTGTTCAAGTCTGAAAATTCAACAGGGGGTGAACACTTACTCCAGCACATCCCTCAATCAATATCTGCCCAGATGAACAATGATCTAGTAGGCCCAGTGGATGAAGAAATTATCAAGCAATCTCTTTTCAGCCTCAATCCTAATAAAGCTCTAGGGGAGGATGGTATGTCTGCCCTTTTCTTTCAACACTATTGGTCAATTGTTAAGAAAGATTTGTGTCTTGCTGTTAGTAGCTTTTTTGAGTCTGGCATGTTATTGAAATCCTGGAACCATACTTTGATTACTCTTATTCCTAAATGTGTCAAGCCTGAAACCCTTAGTCAATTCAGACCTATAAGTCTGTGTTTTGTGATTTACAAAATTATTTCCAAGATTCTCGCTGATAGGTTGAAGGTGTGTCTTGATGAGTGTACTGATGTTGCTCAGTCAGCTTTCATTCCAGGAAGGCAGTTGATGGATAATGTGATTATAGCCCATGAAACATTTCATTTTTTAAATAGACATAGAACTGGGCATAATTTTTTCATGGCTTTAAAGCTAGATATGGAGAAGGCTTATGATAGAGTGGAATGGAGGTGTGCGAGGGATATTATGTTGAAAATGGGTTTTCATGGGAGGTTTGTGAAATGGATTCTTGCTTGTCTGTCCACTCCTTGTTTTTCTTTTAACATCAATGGGAGAGTGGGGGGTCTGGTTAATCCTTCTAGGGGTTGAGGCAAAGGGATCCAATTTCCCCTTACCTCTTCTTGCTAGTGTCTCAAGTCCCCTCAGCTGCCATTAACAGTGAGGTGGGGTTGGGTAGATTTAAAGGTGTGAGGTTGGCCAGGGATTGTCCTACTTTGACCCATCTGCTTTTTGCTGATGATTCACTAGTTTTCTGTCATGCTACAACTGATCAGGCTTACTTGATAAATCATATTTTGTGCCTTTATAAAGCTTTCACAGGGCAGAAGGTTAATCTCACGAAATCCTCCATTTTTTTCAGTAAAAACACTTCTGAGGGGGTGAAAAGGAGTGTGTGTACCATTCTTGAGGGGATTAAAGTCCAGAATTCCACTAGGTATTTAGGACTCCCTTTGGGTATTGGGAAATCTAAGTTAGAGACTTTTAATTTTGTGGTGGAGGCTATGAGAAATAGGATAGTGAGCTGGAAGAACAAATTTTTGTCTGCTGCTGGGAAAGAAACATTAATTAAAGTTGTTCTAAATGCTTTGCCAGTGTTTGTGATGAGCTGTTTTCAGATTCCTAAGGGCACATGTAAAGCTATTGCTAGCCTGTGTGCCAACTTTTGGTGGAGCATTGGAAAGCTTGGAAGGAATTAACTCTATCAAAAGATTTGGGTAGCCTGGGATTCCAAGATATCAAATTGTTCAATCAAGCCCTAATGATCAAGCAACCTTGGAGGATATCAACACAGCCTAACCTGTTGGGGAGCAGGATCCTCAAAGGCAAATACTTTGTAAAACACTCCATCTTTGAGTGTAAGAAGAAACCCAACTCATCATGGCTTTGGAACTGTTGGCTGGGTGTTTTACCTGTATTGCAGCAAGGATTGAAGGTAGACATCAGAAATGGCAGGTCAACAAAACTCAAAGACTGGAATTGGTTAGTGAATGGACCAACTAAAGTCAAGCAGGAAGCTGTGGAAACAGATGTATGGGTGGTTGATCTAATGGCAAATGGTGGGAGGAGGTGGGATGAGAGGTTGGTGAGGGAGTACTTTGAAGAAGCTGAAAGTGAACAGGTATTGCAAATCAACACTCTTAATCCAGATGCTGAAGATAAGTGGAGGTGGAACTTTGATACAAAGGGGAGGTATACTGTGGCAGCAACTTATGCTAAGCTGATGGTGGAGAAGGCTTTGGTGATGGATAGAGCTGAAAGTAGTAGGGCTTCTCAGAGGAGTAAGGAGGCTAGGAGGAGATGCTGGAATTTGAAAGTACAGGGGAAGGTAAAGCATTTTATCTGGAGAGCATTTACAGATACATTACCAACCTTGGGCAATATTCAGAAAAAAGGAATGGACATTGATGCTAGGTGCAGAGGGTGTGGTGAAGCAACTGAAATAGTGCAACATATTCTCTTTCAATGCAGGAGGGCTCAAATGGTGTGGAAGTTGTCTCCCGTGCAATGGGCAGAGCTACCTGGAAGAGAGGGAGTATTTCAAGAGTGGTGGTGGTGGATTAGTACACTTAATCACTCTGATGTGGCTGAGAAGAGAATCCAGCTTTCCACATACATCCTTTGGTGACTATGGAAAGCTAGAAATCTCTGGATGTTTGAAGGCCTATGGAAACCGGAGAGGCTGATTGTTAAGGCGGCAGTTAGGGATTGGATGGAACTTCTAAGCTGCAGAGATGTCGGGTGACTGGTGGGCATACAGGTTCTATGCTAGGTCTGAGGACAGTAGCTATGGACTTGTTATGCTTTCTTTTTGTTGTGTTGGCTTGTTTGTGTAGGTAGTCTTCTGTTTTGTTTTGGTTGGTGTTGTTATATCTGTTGGATTTCAGCTCGTGTGGCTGCCTGCAGTGCATTTGGTGTGTTGATGTCTGGACCAGAGCATGTTCTGGGTCTCTCATTGTATCCCGCTTGTATGAACAATATATTTTTGTTATGAGATCTTCTATCGTTTGGAAAAAAAAAAAAAAAAAAAAAAAAAAAGTATATAATACCAACACTATCCACGTGTGGCGCTTAACCCCTTAAGATTCCTTCTTATCGTTTAGTCTTTCCTATTAGACTTCCTAATGGTGCAACCAGCTCGAGGTATATGGAGTAGAACATTGCATGTTCAGAGACCAAGTGTTGTCTTCTCTGATCGATCGTACGACAACCCATGCATACAGGTCAAGTTTTCAGTAGGCCATCCGAGGGCCCCAGATCTACGTGTCGTTATTCTCATGAAGCTTTCGCATCTTTTGACCTGAAGATGCCTTGTTGTTCCTCCTCTCGGCTGCTTTGCTTTCGACCACCCAGTTTGTCTAAACTTGATTGACTGGTTCTTTGCATTTGTTTTTCTGGGTATGGTATTGCATATCAGATGTTGAGACCCATGATACAGATAAGTATGGTGATTATTCTCCCTTATTGGTCGTGGATGAAGATGAACAAGTGCAACATATGTCCGTTGGACCAATACCTGATCAGGCCGAGAAACTATGGCAATGCGAGCCGCAAATATCAACGCTTAAATCTATTCCAGCTCTAGTGATTCAGGCCGAATTGGAGTTGAAAATTTTGCCATCGCTGGAACTTATAGAAGGGGAGTCGGAGCCATTCGATTTTCTCTTAGATAACAAGCGTGTCCGGACGTCGCGATCCTATAATGGTTTTTGGTCGAAGATGGGAAGATGACGGGATATGTACACTTGAATTAAACTAACATTCTAGCCAATTTACTTTTGTTGGTAACGTGAACCCAAAGGTTGTGAGTGGCCTTAATCGGATTGTTTCTTATGCCGCTAAGACAAGCCGATAAGATTGTGGAAGATTGCTGGGAAGGAAAAGGTGGTCCATGCTCCAAAATTTATCCTTGAGGACAAGGATGGACTCGAAGGGGACAAAAATGATGTGTATCGTGTACTCGAAACACCACAAACGACAATTGCAGTTGCCGATTGCCGAGCCATGGGTGGATTCTCGACAGCAGGTGCTCCGGGCCACGCCCCAGTGATATACCGAGAGACCCGTCAGGGCAACGCGAGACAGCGCGTTGGTCGACAAGGCAGCAACGCGCGACTGTGCGAGACCGCCAACGCGCGAGGCGATCGCTAGACTTGAAAGGGCACGCGCGAGAGCCAACTACCATCGATGAGATGACCGGCGAGACCGTGCAACCGTGGACGTGCTGAGGACACTGATCGTCACACTTCGACCCGAGAAGACCGCGCAAAGGCAGGGTGCCAGTTGGGTGATGCACGGGCGAGACTGGGCACCGCGCAAGCAACGAGCGGGTCGCTTCGGGCGACAAGCTGGCCAGCGAGGTTTGGGGCACAAGTTGGCTGCCGAAGACTTGCAGGCCAAGACTTTGGATCTTTTAGAATTTGTCTAGCACTATGACTTTATTTCTAGTTTATTATTCCTAGTATGTTTAGGTGTTAGGATATTTTGATAATTCTTAAAATCCTAGTTATTTATTTCCTCAGGAGTACAGTTTAATTCATCATAGGCTAAGAATTTCTTTTCTTTAAATACCCATGTTATTGTGTTCAAATTCAAAGAAGCAATGAAATAAGACAAATCGCTCGTCTTAAGCTCAAATATCTTGTGATTAACAATGCCGTTAGGGTGTGTTTTCACAAACTCTGGTGTAGATGCAAGGTCGTTAGTGCGCGCTTCTATGCAAAACAAGTCCACGATACACGATCTTCATCAGACACACAACACATAGCGCATAATAATATTGTACATTCACGTTGATCCTCATTACGACTGACATGGCACCATCACATAGTATATTACCCTGCTCATTACAACCGTATTGTACAACACCACAAAATCTTACACTGTTATTTGAGTAACTATAATTATGGGAGGAAGCTCAAATCATATGGAATTGGGGCTATATACAATCAATCATACATGTACAGGTAAAATCCCAAGACACGACATATGCTCGAAATGAAGGGAGAGCTCAACCAATATACGAGACCTCAACAATAATACAAGAATGATTCCAGTTTCAACAATGACATGAGTAAATATCAAAGCATAGGGTTGAAAACACGTCACAAGGGGCAGAAACCCAACGAGTTGCCCTGGTCTCCCTTCTCAAGTGAAATCTGCAAACAATGGTATTCAGCATATATTTTGATATATATATCATAAGGAACTAATGCAACATATAATAAGTGAACAAATGATCAGTACATATTTTTCAAAGACCAAGGAAGAAGGCAATCTGCGAAAAAGAAAATAATAGTATATGTATAACATAAATATGAATTGTTGTCAATAAATTTCCTATGAAACAAATAAAATGCATGCGCTATACATGTGATCATTACACCCAATTACCAAAGAACTAGGCCGTTAACCACATGAACGGACGTGTTTGGGCCTAAATTACCCCAGCCTGTTTGATTGTGGGCCTATTTCAGCCCACTCCTTTTGGCCCACAGGCCAATGCTCAAATAAGTACAACATGTGAGTTTTTGTAAAATATTGTTTACACTAATGACATGGAAAATAATTATTCCATCAACATTAATTTTATTCCTTTTCATACGCCCTAAACTCGAACAGGTGTGACTCTTCTTATTTATTTCTCCCTTCTGTTGACATGTGCGAGGAGTTCTTATTCATGTTTGACTGCAATATCATGTTTTCATTGTCCCATTTTCTATTTTCTATTTCCTATTATGTTGCATTTGATACTTACAGGATTGCTTTCTGCTTTTCGAGAGAAGTTCGTGACCTAGTTACCATCATCTTGCATGTCTTCACCAAGTCAACGCGGGTCACACATAACTTACCCAAGTAACACACTTTGGGCTTATGAGATTTATACATCAACTTTTGGGGGAGTATGATATAATTAATTTATTTCCTTCTGTAACCAGATCTTAAAGGAAATAAACCATTTTGGATACATCCCTTGAAAAGACGCAGTTGGAAAAGTTTAGTCCTCTATATATGTCTTGTGCTGAGATCTTCTACTCATACAATTAAAATCGAATTTTCTAGAAACGATGAAGGCTAATAATGAGCAAGTTTGTGAACAATCCANAAATAAAAGGCCAACATTCATATTTTTAGCTTTTTCTAGTATGTAACTCCATGAAATGCAACTTCGGATTATTCTTTTCCTCCCCTGGTCATCTCTACATTTCTTTTTGTTTAGCATGTGTATCCATATATTTATGATAAGATTACATTTTGGAAAGCAGATTGACTATAACCCCACATGATCCAACTCAAACTGGATAACCACTAATTTGGTTGTGTCAAATCTATTACTATATAATAAGATCAAGGATTTACCTAAAATAGTAGGTAAAATCCCACCTAAACATTTCAAATTTACTAAATTTAGAAATTTTTAAAATAATTTATATTTTGAAATTTTAAATGAAAATAAGTAGATTTTATTTTCTTCTTCATACGGGTTAGTTAAAGATTAGTTAAAGTAACTACTTTTATGATCTTTGGGAACATAAATTCCTTTTTATTTTTTCTTATTGTGATAATGTTTTAAAATTGATTCAATATCTTTTTTTTATTTAAAAAAAAATTGTTTCATTTTTTTAAGTAGTTTTCAAATTTGATTTCAATATCATTAATCACAACTTTTCAAATACGTAACTTGTTCACTTTTATCATACTTCCTAAATACTTTTTATACTTTTGTAATGTTTATATCATCTTACGATTTTTCTTTTAATATTTTTCCTTTTTCCCGCTTTCAACTTTTTAATATGTTGATAATCATTTATCATATACCTCTGTTTATCTATTATTTGAAATCTTTATCATGTTTTGAAAAACTTGACCGTCTTTATTTTAACTATGTAATTACGTTCATAATTTAATAAAACCATTAATTTATTTATCTCTTACCTCTAAAGCTTGAACCATTAAAATTTAAAATTTATAATTTAATTCTAGAGAATTAGTAGATAAATTTGAACAATAAAATAACTGGCAACAAATCTAGAAATTTGCGAGATAATATATATAAGTTGCGGGTCAATATTAACTTGAACGTAAATGAATATTCAATTATTTATAGTATAATAAATTACTCAACTACTTAAAATTTTTTATTCAGTTAGTTTAAACAAAAATAAATTTATTTTAATTAATGAAACAATATAAGTTTTATAGTTATACTTATTATGCACATTGATTTTTAAATATATGTTAAAATTTTACCAAAATAATTATTACGGAAGCACATTGTAGTCAAATCGAATTTCTAAATAAAAATCTTTAAAATGACACTTTTTTTTAAATGAATAAAATATAATTTATTATCACTTACGTGCACCGTACGGGTTGTGTACTAATTTTAAATTGACATGTTTTATTTATTCTGCACAATTTAAATTTTAAAAAATTAATATAGGTAAATTGTTGATTTCACATTTTTAATTTATAAATATTATTTAATGAGAATTTTTAATTTATAAATATTAAAAAATATCTCTTAACCGTGCATCGCACGGGATTTGTAAGAGTGGATTCATATTCAAGACTATTATAAAACTATGCTCACACTGTGATGCACACATAAAACAAATAATTCACTTAGTCAAAGATTATGCATGATCATAGAAATATAGAGGTAAAAAGTAACGAAGTTGGATCCTATCCACGTGGTCAAATGCAGAAGAGCTCAAAATGAGGTAAATGTACCAGTAGAAGATCCTCATCAGTACCAAAAGACTTATGAGCCTGTTCCAAACACCATGAAGAAACCTTCACATGTTTCCTGAAAACATAAAATATATAAGTGTATGTGTGCAGAACTCCATGTCAGTTTTAATAAGCTTAGATTTTGTTTAGTAAGAGCTTATTTTTAGCTTCTAGTTTTACAAAAATCGTATATTATTTATAGTAGTATTTGACGAATTAGCATATAGCTTACAAAAAACTTTTGAAAAACTATCTCACATAGCATTTCATTTGAGTCCGACTCGAATGAAAAACTATCTCACATAGCTGGTAACTTCTACGCTTTTAGTTTTCAACTAATTTTTCAGCTACATTTACCAAATAGAGTCCAACTCGAAAAATAATCACAAACCCATCCAAGTTATTTAACAGTTCTGCATAATGATAACAAGCAAATCAAAACAGGATACGCGACTACATCCAACAAGTAAAAGAAAGTTCCAAGGCAAAATATAATACATGTTTCATAACAAAAGAACTGTAAGTTCATGTAGAGTAGCAAAGTTTTCAGTATATGATATAGATTGGGAAAGTAAATGGTGGAAAGGGAAAGCAGGAATGTAATAAAATAAGTAAGGCAATATTAGAAACCCAAATCATGGGATTGGCTAGAATCGCGGGATCCTCCACGTCAGCTATCAAATCGTTATCTTACTTAGGGCAGCTTTAACAATAACACCATACAGATCCACTTTTTCTATTCCCAATATGCCACGTCACCCAAAACCTCAGTTTTGCTTCCACTCTCACAAACTTCAAATAACCATAAACCTCAAAAATTATTTATATGGGCCCATGAACCATAGAATTCTGATGAATAAAAAAAAGTATGGCTCTTGCCTTTTTCTTTTATTTCTTCTTTTTATTTTACACCTTGAAATGAGCTTTGTATTTGCAACACCTCTTTAAATTTTCAAACCTCAAACCTGTGGTGTATAACAGTAAACCTCAAAGGTTTAAGTTTGCAAACCTCCAAAAACGTTGTTATTAAAGTTGCTCTTATTCTTTGTTATCCAATTACCTTAAACAAACAATATGCTTATAAAAGGGGAGTGAGGAAGTAAGTATTAGGCATTGAGAGAAATAATATTGTTTGTCGGCTTTTAGCTAGGGTGGGAGTTTATTTCCCTAGGAGAACCTCTTGTTCTTGTCTTTACTTTTCTACATGATAATATTTAGATTCTTTTACTTTGACCCTTTACTCCTATCATATACTGGTTTCCTTTTTCTTGTCCTTTCACATTTTCCTTTACTCTTTTATTTTTTCCATTCTCTGTCTCATCCAAAAATTATATCAACCATTTGCTTACATTGAGCTGGCAGGATCTCGAATCTCGAACTCGTGTGTAACCGCATCATAACCACAGATAACAACGTAATGACCTACAAGGACCATGGTTAAGTGAGAAAACCTTAAAACACATTTGATAAAATACTTGTTGTTCAGAATTGCTTGCTACTAATCAGATAAAGTCTAGAGCTATCTAAAAAAACTAAAGTCTAGATTAACAGAAATGAGGCAGTAAAAAAAGAGACTATATAAGTTCAATTCAAATGCAAAATTTTAAATTTGGATGCTCGATCTAGAATTACAATACTAAAGAATAAAAGAAATTTTGGCAAACAAATTATGCTGATTCAAGTACAGAAACATATCAAATAGAAGTCAATGATGGATTTCATACAATAAAAGTTTCGACAGAACCATACTTACAAGAAGCACCCCATTTCCAGTTATTCAGTGAAGCCCCAATTGAATGTTCTTAATAAAAGTAAGCGTAAGCTGGGTGCAGTATTGAAATGCAACCCAAAAGAATAAGCATGCACAATAAGAGAATGTGATGGTTACCAGTGTAACCTGGGTTGCCACCATAGAAGTCTGGAACACAAACATCCTCTAGTTTCGATTGACTGCATAGGCATTAAAAAATAACGAAAATTTTATATGCCGAAATAGACAAATCCACCACACTATATGTTAATTTCCGATAAAAAGTCAATTTTATGCCAACGTGCAATTGTTGTGGAATTTTATATATAAAAACAGAGAGAGAGAGAGAGAGAGAGAGAGAGAGAGAGAGAGAGAGAAAACTGTATCGGCCACCATTTATCCAATTATGAATCTCATCGCATCAAAATTTTTATAAGTTTAAAATAGCATTGAACTGACATCATGTCATCTATTACAATCGCCCACGGATATTTTTAACCATCATCACATCAACCACTACTACTAAATAACTATGGTCACTGAAATTTTATGCCACGTCCAATTATACTCTAAATTCAACCTTAATACTCTTAAACATTTTTCCCAACTTTTCTCTTGAAAAATGAAAAGGAAAAAGCCAACCAGAGCCCAAGCAATAACATTGTAATATTGTTGAGTTTGGACATAACCACCATGGGAACTAGTAGATAGGTGAACCAGTGAACAAAACTTAGAAAAGGAAAGACTTTAGACGCACATTGTTTCATCTTCAAAATTGCCATATTTTAGTTATATTTTCCATGAAATTATAATCATGTGAATCCTAATAATTTTACAAAATACAGTTACTTTATCTGCACATTTTTCCACATAAAAAGTCTGGACCTGCTATTTTGAGTTTTTTACTATATAAGCAGAACCACATTCTACCACTTACCAACCACTATTCTCAGCTCCTCATTCAAATATCACAATTTGTATATCACTATTTGTTCAAAGTATATACATACAACATAAAAAATAATATCATAAATACAAACAAGTATCATTTCAATTTTACCACAAGCTTTCATTCATATTCATGATTGCTCAACACTAGTTAGTCCAAACATGTCCTCATTTATAAACACATGCAGAATTCAGTTTTGATTGATTCATCAAAAGACAATTCAGAACTTACATAAAAATCAAATTCTCAATACAAACGCGGAAACGCCAAAATTAGACGACTCGTGAAGGCATAACCACAAGAAGATTACATTTACGACATGCAAAGAAATCAAAGTAATATACACCTTCTTTAAAGAAGGAGGGAAAGACAACATACCTTAGTTTATACTGATCGACTAGAGCAATAGCAACATACTTTCCAGACAAGATAAAGTCAGAAATGTTTTCCGCACTAACCGATCTGCACTGTAAAAAAATAGCATTTATGTAATGCATACAGAAACTATATTTTCCAATGTTACAAATAATTAGTAATTACTGCAAGAATTGAATGTTAATGATAAGGTTAAACTTCCAAATCAATGAGAAAAACAAGAGCCAATAGGAATTATCAAGTAGACATAGTCAAAGCCTATCACAGTCGGAGCAATCAGGGTAGGAATTAGGACAAAATGGAAGAAAATTGCATCTAGATATATATTAAGAATATGACATTCCATCTTTAGTATTGGATTTTTCCACTCTATTTCATACTAAAAATGAAAACTCTTACTTTTCCTTTTTAATTTCATTAGCATTAAATGTTCAAATGTAAATATATATTCTACATATATTTGATAATATAATTCATATTCTTATCATCGTTTTGAGTTAAATATTTGTACTATTTCATTTATGTTTTCTCTTTAGATTTTTTAATTAAATACTTATTCTCTGTTTCAAACAAAATCTTAATAAAATTTTATTTGTAACCATTTGTATAAAAATAGTATATCAAACTACTCTTCTTCAACAACTTTTTATTTGACACCAATATTTCATATATNAATCTTCAACATGGAATAAGGTAATAGTTATGTACCAAAACCAATTGAAAAAAATAATAAATGAATGTCGTACAAGTTTCTCATAAAATAAATCGTAAATATAAATTAAGTAAAGAAATAGCATAAAAGAATAATTTTTATATTTATCTACAAGTTTGAACTATTTTTGTTAATAATATAAAAGTGTGTATATATATGCAACATTAGATGCTTCAAGTATATGTTTTAAAAGGAAAATTAGCAAATTGTCTGTCGAGTTACTAAACAAATTATCGTATCAGTAAAAATTATTCGTAATATGCAAATCATGAGTTTTCATAAACCATATAATGATATTAATATTCCATGACCAAGAAAAATAAATTGATAAACAAAAATAATATTAAATAACACTTTATCTTATTTATTTGTATGCCTGGGCACGTGTGCTGGTAACCTAAAAACAGATGTAAGAAAAGGTATCCTAAGACTCCATCATCCTGCACGAAATTGAGCATCAGTAGCAAGCATTTTGATGTTCCTTTTAGCCCTTTCCAATGTTACACCATATGGAGATTTATTAATCAAGTACTTTCAATCAATTTGATTCAATATAGGGGTTAAAACTAATGATAGACATGCAAATCTCAAAAACTAAACATAAAGAAATTAGATTGGTTAGTAGGATAAGAACTTCCCATGAATGCATTGTTCAAATATTTCTCTAGTTTCCGAGTTTCCGCGTAACCAGGAAAATGGACTAGTTAAAGATTCAAGTCCTAATTAGTAGTAGCATAAATTTGGTAGGAATAGCAAACCCGATTCCCCGGTCAAGAGAATGATTTAATAGGGTGAGCAGATTGTACCTCTATACATATTCCAGCTTTACGAGCTTCACGAAACAGCATATTTACCCTTACCAGATCATTTGGCAACTGGTCCTGCAATGAATCTATAACATCAAAACTGAATGTAGAAGCGTTCATAATCTTGAAAAACCAGACACTGAATTGTTCCATTGCATTCAAAAGCAGACATGTCATATTGTGCTTTATGGGGATTCAGTTGAACTTAAAATGTCCAAAAATTTAATTATATTTATTATTTATATCTGCAAAGGCCCTCCAGAACAGATTAATGAAACTGATATAGATTTTAAACAAATACGTAAAGATAGACGACATAAATATAACTAATAAAGAACATAGGTCATATTTCATATATATTACTTCAATGTTATGGGCCACTTTGAAATTATAGAAAAAAAAAATCTTTGGAACCAAGCTGTTACATATAAATTATTAAATTCCTTCAACGCGAATGGACATTTACCTTATAAAATGTCTCAACAGAAAAATCTGGATTTGCTCCTAATGTAACTGTGCAGTATGTAAATCTTACGGAAAACTTCTGCAGCAAATATGCCAAATCGACAGTCCAAATACTGAAACATAGAGTGTGATAGGCTTCAGAGAAGTATTCACGGAGCATCAGTGTTTCCCTCGTACAAACTTAGTAACAGAAACTTGAATACAGATCCTCACTAGTCTAAATATTACTAAAAAACATGGAAGGCAATGTTTTGAACATTCTACACAAAAGACAATGACGGAAATCTGTAAACACATATTTTCAGAGAACATGTTTCACATAAATGTGACCTCAAGTAGTGCCTTTATTTATCATGATTATACTTAAATGGCCTTCTTACGCTACTCCACTTGTGTTATTGAAGAATTGAAGGAGCTCTTATTTCAAGATATTAGAAAATTTTGTAAACATTAACCAAGCTTAAGGTAGCATCTATATGAAAAATGTGAGAAACAAATATAATAAGCTTAAGGTCACTAAGAATGCTGGTTACCAATATCTCAATGGTTACTCGACCATGGCTTCTCTTGCTACCCAGATTGCAACCAGTCAGATTAAATCATTTCTCATAAGCAACAGGAATAAACTTGCATTCCAAACAAAAATGTCATCAGTAGTTTTAAAAATATCCTTTAAGTTAGTCAGTGTAATTAAGTTAGTTTCCCTCTTTAGGAAAGACGATTTAAAATGACTGTTAAATGTTGTGAAAGATTAAAAAAATGTCATAAACTTTATACACAAACTTTGTTTAGTGTTTATATGAAACGCTTATTGGAACAAATTTAACGGGCATCTTTTAAAAATATGCATATTTTCTGTGAATATTAACTCAATACATAAAATTCTGAACATTTTTACTCTTCTAAATAGCTCACCTGAAACAAAGCGAAAGAGAATTTGAAATCTAAAGGGAAGTAAAGTGCAACAATCCCTTTCAAATGTTATTTTGCCAGTACATTTTGAAAGTTTGGCTAGCTGTATGCATATAAAGATAGATAGGACATACTAACTCAATAGTAACTTGCATAAACAACTTACATTACAGAAGCATGACATTGAACATTTAGCAGACAATACAATATACTAAAAGTAACAACCGAACTATATTAAATCCTATATTTTCATATTTTCTTTATTCTAGTTCCTCCATATTCTCAAAGGAAACTATAGGTTTTACAAAAAGAGAAAAGGTAAAGTTAAACTGATTTTGTTGAAACATAACCAAGCAGCAACAACATAAGTGTGGCACATCATTTTTCTAGGTTTCATGAAAGAAGGTACCTCGTAGTACAACATAACTCTTCCAATTCCTGAATATTACAATCATAGAAGCCAAGCGCTTGCAAAACCATTAAAACACAAGCAAGACCACAATCCCATGTGTACTGCTGATTTATATGAGGGACCTAGCATCAATACCCATAATTCAAATGATTTGAGAAAGAAATACTGATATACAATCACTCTAATATAAATATCGAATTATAGAAACTTCCTATCGGAAAAGAGACAGAGACACCATGTTAAAAATCACACTTCAAATGCAGACAACAAAAAGTTATAAAGGACTAGCAGATTACATCAACGAAGTGCGAAAGAACAGAACTTTTGTGCAGGTCATTGCTTGAAGACTGTTGCATATGATACGCCCCAACAAAATTAAATTGAATTCCAGCAAGGCCTTCGAAATTTTTTTCATATGTTTTCAGAAGTTTGTTCATGAGCAGATCTAATGACCACATTGTTCGGTATCTCTTTAGAGAATAAAATAGTATAACTAAAATTTAATCAATCTCGATGATATTCGTTAACATTCCTCATGAAGTCTCAAGAAAGTAAATACTCCCACAAGTTGTAGTCATTCTTTATAATGTGTCACTGTAAATGAAGGCAACAATGATTGAATTCCAGATGCTGAAGCTGTGATAGCACGAAAATCAACAATGCTGCTGGACTGATCTGTAATAAAAAATACAAACCACTTTAGCTGATAACTAAACGATGCTTTGGTTATCCACGGAATCAAGGGTGTGCGGAAGTATTTGAAGCAAGAGATGAGAGAAATAAAAGCAAATTGAACAACAATAGAGTAGCTCACAAATAAAAGGTTACAGTCTATTATCTGTTCATTTGTTTGTTTTTACCAACTTCGGAAGTTTACAATACATTGCTCAACTAGTGAATAAGAAACATGGGCCACTTGGTTTCCTCATTTTAACTGATTAACTGTTAATAATTCTGATCTCTCTCTTTCATGGAAAGTGTAGCATAAATGTGGATTTTAGAGTCATATAGACATGTTTATTTCTGGAAGTTTATATTTTCTTGCTATTCTTCACCCTCTCCAACAAAATTGGCTCGCAAGCTAGTTGTAAATGAGACCTGTGAAGCATAGATAGATACTGATATGTTCCTCAGTCACACAAAAATTCATGCTTTTTAGCCCGGGATTTATCGCATTACGAATTCTTTCAATGCAAGACCAAAACCAATAACTTCAAACAATCGAACCCTCTATCTGATATTGAATAAACCTNAAAAAAAAAATACTCTTCTGCCATCTTTCAGAAGACCATGATATTGATATCACTTAGAACCTAAGAAAGAAAAAGAAGATATCTCCAAGAACCAATCCCATCTACCAATAAACGCATCATAAAAGGTCAAACAACCAATAATGCTACTGAATAAATGAATCACATACGAAGAGCAAATATAGCTAAAAGAAAAAATAAATTGGATCATTCCGCTCGTGTATCACACAGATTTCCACCTGAAATAGCAAGCCATGCCTTTTTGTTTTCTAAGTTTTCTTTTGTTGGGAGGGAAAAGAGCACCTTTTCAAGGACAATGACGAAGAGAGCGAGGGCCTATCAAGACACGATTGAATCCCGTCTTTCTTGGCCAATAATGTAATCTTCACTGAATTTCTGACAATTAAGGAAAGAAACAAGAAAATGCCCAACCGATCAGAGATCACCAAGATTTACTAATTCAATTATCTTTTTACAGCCAATATACTTTATTTGTGTCTGTTGCCTGTCGGCATTTGTGAGGCCGGGAGGAAAAAAAAAATAAAAAACAGATAAGAGTAGAACGAATAATGAGTTTTACAAAGTGAATTGTTATCTCAACTGCTATTCACCGCCCCCCTTTTACTTGTCACCGCCCCCCCCAATTACTCTTTTGCCCTTAACCTTTTTTTGGATTTCATCTCTCTAAACTTTATCTCTCTAAATTTTCCGAACTTCAACGAACGATACGAGCATAAAAAAAAATCCGAAAAAATGTCGAAAAAATTCTACGGCCTCGGCAAAGGATTCTTCTCCGACAAGGTATTTTTTTTTTTTTTTTTTTTTTTTGCTGCGATCGAAAG